AGCAAACTCTTCAGCATCTATGGTAGAGTGCCCTCAGCCTCCTGACATCTATAACAACTAGGGAGAGGGGTCTCTCCCCTTGCGCATGATCTGCATAGAGCTGGGGAGTGCAGGGCTCTGCAGCCTCTTCTCCCTCCCTGCTGAGGCTCTGACCGTGCCCTTCTCCTTCCTCTCTGCAGCTCCACAGTGCATCTCCTTTGTGTGGCTGACGCTGGCCGGCCTGTGCAGTGTGGTGGGCCGGGTGAGGAGCGGCCGGACCCTGTGCACTGCTTGTGCTGGTGAGTGCCGGCCCCAGGGCAGGGGGGCTGGGGACAGCCCTTGCACCTCACCCTGCTGCAGACTCTCACAGGCTGCCTTTTCTCTTCTTTTGTTTTGTTGCGTTCTTGTTGTTGTTTTCTATAATTAATTACTCTCTTGTTTATTTGTTTGTTTGTTTGTTTTCAGTTGTGAAACAATGGATGGATGGCGTCAAGATTCACTTGTCCTCTGGAAAGCACAGCCCCTGGCCTGCCACAGAGAAAGAACAAATGTATGAGAATCTTCATGAGCTCTTCTTCTCTGTGGTCAGCAACTGGCAGGACTGCAAGGAGGAAGAGGTGAGCACTGCTGCATTGCCAGCCTGGGATGGCAGCTGGGGCATCCATGTTGGCAGCTCTGTCTGTGCCCAGCAGGCTGAGAGCAGAGGGGTGTCAAGAGGGTGTGGGCTGGCTCTGCAAAGGGCCCCAAACTGGCTCTGTGCTTGGGGCTGGATCTCCCTGCCAGGGAGCAGTCACAAGTCACAGCACTGTGGCAGGGAGAGCCGGGGATGAGGGTATGGGGAAAACCTGCCTGCCCAGGGAGAGCGAGCCCATGTGCTGCTGGGCACAGGGGTGTGGGGAAGGGGAATGGAAAAAGAAAGCCCTCTCTGTAGGAAGGGCAGACCTTCAGTCTTTGATGCTGGGCCTCTGCCATCCCTCTCCAGGACAGACAGGCCGTTCTCGGGGCTGTGACTGCCATGATGACTGTCCTCCTGCAAGAGGAGCTGCCCCGAGAGCACGTCTGGGAGCGGCTCCTCTGGCTCGTGCACCCGTGTCGGGAGATGCAAGACACCTGCAGGGTGGCCAAGGTAAGATGTTGCACAGGGCTTGGTGTGGACGTGGGGCCCGTGCAAGTGCCACAAGGGGTCAGGGGGCTGCAGGGAGGAGGTGGG